GATAATGCACAGTCCACTTTTTCTTCTTTGACACACCTTTCCCAACTGGAGGCACCATGCAGAAGTTACATTATATTTATTTTTTAAATGAAAAAAACTCATGGGTTAATTAACCATATGCAAGAAAAAAAATTGAAGGGCAGAAAAAGTTGACGTGGAAAGTGCAGATTACCACCAAGCATAAATTCAAAGCCCACTTCACTTTCAGAAGTAAAAGGAACTGAAAAGTAATTGAAGGTACTCCTCATTTATATCCTCACAACTCTGCACAAGAGGAAAGGGTGGAAACAGGAGAGTACCTCCAAATGGACGCTGCTCTCTAGAACACTGGTCTGGTGCATTTATCCCAACAATGGCGATCCATACAGACCGTGCTTGAAGGAGAAAGCTGAAATGCTAAAAATCATACCCCAGAAACTATATGAATCTGTTTTCCAGCCAACAAAACCATCCCAGCAAAACCAACTTAAAGCAAAAATGGTGAAAGGCTCTTCTCACTAAAGACCATTTCCCTGCCACAGTGCAGCTTTCTATGAACAAAGATTTTGAGAGACTAAACTTGGAAAACTTCAGCATGGAAGGTTAAAGTTACAAGTAACTGAAAATAAGGGGGTAGAATGGAAATATTGTTAAAATTAGTGATGGTGAGTGTGATATGCTGACTCTATAATAAAAGATGACTATTCAGATATACAAGAGCCTTTACTTTCTCTCCTGTAGGCAGTGCATTCATTTGCTAAAAAAGATTCTTAGGAGAAAAGCTCACTTATTCTGTTGCCAAGTTCTATAAGAATACTGCTTGAATGAGATTACAGCAACGATGCATAACCAAGAGGGCAAGCTGTGTGAAGAGGCAGCGGGAGGCAAATCCTTAGGGCTCTGAGAAATGAGAACTGTCTATCCCCAATTCTAAACTACTTCCCTCTTGAGGGAGCTTAAAGTCAGCCAATCACATTTTATAGTTTGTTTACTACATGAGTATTTCAAATAAAAACAAAGAAAGCAAGGATTTTTTATTTCAGAAGATACTAAACATCTCATAAAAATACATTGTGAATAGCTTAAGTATTTCTCTAGAATACTGATCTGCACCTCTGATCGTTCTTCTTACAGCGTATGGCCTGAAGAAGTCTTTCCATCACATTTAATTCCTCCTCATATGGAATGCTATCAATAAGAAATTCCAAGTTTCCTCACTGCTAATTATGTATATGGATGTGCAGAAGAGGATACCCTAGAGAGTCTACAGCTTAGTTATTTTTGCAGCCTTTCCCTTGATAACTGATCAAATTTGAACTCATCCACGTGTCTGGAACAGACTCTCTTCCCCTTTGTGTCTGAATAATCTTTATCAGATGTAGAGACTCATCTGACATTATTTATTGGCTGTCAAAGCAGGGGGAGATATTGCAAATTAAACTATGAGATGAAATTTTTTCAACTTGATATGAATTAATGCCTCACAGTGCTCAAAGGGGACAATTTACACCTCAAATGCACCTTTTCATTCAAACTTCAAAACATAGCATTTTAATATATGGAGGAATACATTTTATAAATATTTACCACTTTTGGAATAAACCTTTATGAAGTGAGGTTCTTCATTTCTGTATTGCACCACATTATACTGACCATACTATGTTTGTGGCTATTTAAAATTACAACCTTAAAAATGATTTTCTGAATGCTACGGAAGATGGAAACATTCTGTTCTGAAAAAAATTCAACTGCTGCCATGGCTGCAGGCAAGTGTACAAAAATTAACATTTTTATAGCTACATCCAGAGCTAAATATCATTAGCATTAGTAAACATCACCATAGCCCAACTTAAAAATAAGTCTATAATGTTTACAAGGTTTGGCTGAATGTTTTCAAAGAGGAAAAAATTTTCAGTAGACGGAACCATTACTATTAGATTTAAAGCATGGAAAAATGTTAAACAGATGTATATGGAGTTCAAATTTATTTATGGAAGATCTGTTTCAAGAAGAAGAGGCATAAACAAGATATGCGAAGATATTTAGCTAACATGTGGAATGACCAAAACACATTCTCTGTGCAATTGAAAAAAACTAGATGAGAGCACGCTAATCTCTGGAAAAATCTTATCCGAATAGGGGTAATGGAAGTGTTCTAAAGCACTGATGCAAATGAGACTGTGTTCACTTCTTAAGCAGTAGTCAAAATGTCTTATTTCCATTGAAGAGGTCAGATTTATTTATTTAAAAATCCATTGGTATCTTAGAATTGGCCACAGAATTAAACATAATTAATACAATACCTAGCTCTTACCCAGCACGTTTCCATCAGCAGATCCCATAACGCTTGACAAAGTAGATCAGTATCATTATCCCCATCTTACAGAAGAGGAAATTGAAGCACAGAGGCAAAGTGACTTACTCACGGTTTCCCAGTAAGCACAGTCAGGAATAGAACCCAGTTGTCCTAAATCCCAATCTAGTGCTCTATCTATAAAGTACGCTTTTCTATCCATGATGGTTCATAACATATTAGACCTTATCATTCTATAGCACTAGCCCAGAACTGATTAGAAGGTCTTAGACCAGGGCAAGTTTTATTCCTTTGGGGGGGGGGGAGGGAGGAGGAAGGGTATAATAAAAGCCTTATAATATAATTTATATTCTGGGTTTCTGTATTCTGAGCTTTCAAATGGCATAAGGAATGCAATCCTAGCCCTGGCAGTTCATTTAGATATTGTGTTCACAGTTTGCCATCCTGTTTCTCCCTATTCAACGGACATGATTTCAGCAGCTAATAACACCAGAACTGCTAGAGCTAAAAACAAATGCTTTATGCCATCTGAAAAGCAGCATGGAATCCCAGCTCTCAAAATGGTAAAAAGTCTCAAACTAGCAATTTGGGATACTGGCTAGTAAAAATCAAGCATAGAACTGAAGTGGGGAATAAAGCAAGGTGCTAATTAGAACATTTATTGTAAAAAAGTTCAATATCCCATAATCTGCTTGAGCTAGAAATATTATTTTCAGACCAGTACAAATGTTTTCAGGATCAATGACTCTCTCCAGCACAATCCTGGACCAATAATCACAACAAACAAAAATAGTTGCCGTATATTCGCATTAAAAAATATCACCTATAATAAAAAGTACCAGTCAATGGATGTATTTAGTGGATTGATTTAATTCACTGAAAAGAGAAGATAATCTGATCTATGGTTTTTGTTGTATTTTCTGAAGGAGAAATTCTATTTGTAAATTTAGATTTGGCTGTCCTTTTTTGGTCCTTTTACTTAATATTTTATAAGCTTCCATTTTCTTTTGCTTGTAGAGCCTTTGAGCTTCTTCTCTTTCTTGTTTCCTTTTCTCGGCTTCCTGAAATAAAAGCAGCGAAAATATAACTGACATGAGTAAATCAGAATCAGTACAAACCCTAGATGTGACTTTTAAATAATACAAGCATCCTTGTGAAAACATTGGAAGTTGGGTACCGTACTGGTTTTATGGCCATCACCACTTTTAAAAGAAATTTGAGAGCTGAAGAAGAGTCAGATATTGTAACTGAAACAAACGTTCCATTGGAATGAAGACTGCGATGGCAACTTCACATCTGTGGCACAATGGTACTCTCTACAATAAAGTTAAAGCTCTTTCGTCTTGCACACAGACCTTTCTATAGGGCTGGCTGAGGCTGTAGAACGAAATCCACAGGAACTAAGGACCATCACAAACCTCACCGCCTTCTTTTCCAAGGGCAAGACTTTTTTTTTTTTACCTGCTTTCTGTATCAAATACACTGCAACATACATATTAAAAAACAAACTAAAACAAGAAATAAAAGCCTCCTCACTAAAACAAGACACTCCACTGCACACACTTCTCCCACTGGGGAGAGAATGAGGAAAAAAAACAAAAACAAACAGGTAACAGATGTTAGTCACATCACGTAATGCACTACTGGAAAGCACTCTCATACTACCAGTGACAAGCATGGTATAAAACTCTTTATATAATTTTATTCAGCATTTAGGGCAACTTTAGGTGCTACTATCAATATTTTGTTTTACACTGAATAAATTACTAAAGCAAATTATATTTTTAATGAGCATGATAACTAGTTTGATACACTGAAATTATGTCCGATCAAAATATGTGAAGCTGTCACTAATCAGACTAAAGGCTTGCTTCAATTTATTTGGATGGCTGCTCTGATGGGATTTTATTCTTTGAAACGCAACACTGTAAAGGCCACAAAGACAGATGTCTTAGCAGCAGTGTGCATGTCAAGAGATGCTAGTTTATCAAATGCATATTATATTCTTTTCGTTGCATAAATAGGCATCAGCGTTTTGTAGAAATTAAAAACACATGAAAAACAATTTTATGCAACAGAAATATTTCATAATTCAGCAGGAATAGTACTTTATGTTTTATGAAAATATAAAGTGAGTTAAAGCTAAATAACCCAAGCAAACATTTCTAAATAGGAATCCCAAAGCAGCTGAAAAATCTAAATAATGACAAATACTAAGTCCCTTTCATATACACAAAGTGTCCATAAATGAGTATTTTATTAATGAATATTACTGAAAAAATACTAAAATGTATGGCATTGGAAAAAATATATATATCAAACCTTCCTAATCAATTGCATTTCATGCAGGCCAGATAAAGAGTCATCAGAGAAAAGTTACTTTAGATCATTGCTGACATTGGGCTTGAAACAAATTATTCTGGAGCAGGAAGAATGACCCTGTCCATGTGGAATATGCAGGATGGCTTGAGTCTATAAATATAGATTTTGGAGGCTTTTCTTGCTGACACGACTACAAGAAAACACGTTTCTATGGAAAGGAAATAAACCTGACTTGTGGTTTCAACAGATATGCAGTCTTAAGAATCATTAAGATCATTGTGTGATCTATTAGAAACTTGATGTGTCAAGATTTATAACACTATTTAGCACATAAAGTAAGTCCTCACTTAACGTCCTCCTGCTTAACGTTGTTTCCAAGTTACGTTGCTGCTCCATTAGGGAACATACTCATTAAAGTTGTGCAATGCTCCCTTATAACGTCGTTTGG